TAAAAGCTGCTATAGCAAATTTGGAAGACAAATTAGCTAAAAAAAACTCTTTTTTTCATGCATCTTAACAACGTTCTAACATAGTATAGCTATAAATATACACCGTATTTTCCGGACTATAAGTCGCACTTTTTTCATAGTCTGGCTGGTCCTGCGACTTATATACCAAATTATGTAGGCTATACCGCGCTGCTGCCGGCCGGCTCCAACCCAGGAATGAGCTCCCCTTTCCCACTGGGAGGGTTTCAAACACCGCCATCAAACACTGCTACAGCTGTGGCGGGGTGCTGCGGGCTGGCTCCAGCCCAGGAATTCAATTCAATTCAAAGATACTTTATTAATCCCAGGGGGAAATTAGAGTTTCAGTACACACAATTCTGAGATCAGACATGCATACATAGGCATAGACACATGACAAGAATTGGTGACTGTGGTCATTCGCAGCCTGAGTCGCGCTACCTTAATAGAGATCAGAGGGTTTACATGAGTCAGGTGGAGGAAAAGGAAGGCACTTCAGAGTTCCCCTCCACAGGGAGGGCAGCTTTGCTACGCAAAAAACACCTCAGACAGAAATGCAACAGACTTCAGACATCACACAACACAACATAAGTGTCCACTAGGTGGGGAGGTAGGATTGGGGACTCTCCGCACGTCAGTGCATGCAGCCACGATAAGAGGCCAGGGGAGGGAGGTAATTGGGTTAGAAAGCACAACGGTTCCATGGTCTTCACCGATCACAGTCCCGCCCAGGCTGGGATAGGGAGACAGAGTTGCCATGGCGACGGCAGCATTCCACATTTCTTCTGAGGGGGAGTAATCGCTTCAGCCTCACAGGCTCAAGGGCACCAGATTCAGATAAGAAATTGTTTTGGGGCCAGACAGAGATAATTTCCTCTCTGTCTTAAAGTTCTGTTGGTCTCCAACCCCACTGAATCCAATAATGGCGTAAATTAATCTATTCCCAACCGTGCTGTCCCGTCATCTCTCTCCTTGATCGAATCAACCTTCTGTGCCAGAGTCTAAATCTCAGCCAAAGTTCCAAGCTTACGTCTCATCTCGACAATTATATGAGTTTGTGCGTTTACAGCTTGGTGTAATCCATCTCTGAGCTCCGGGAGCGAGCCAATATTCCTCGACAGCTCGTTAATTTTCCGGTAAGCCAGGTAACCTCCCAGGCCAAAGAGCAGGAAACCTGACGCCAACACCACAAATATCCAGACGTCTTCAGAATCCTCTACAGACAGCTGAGACAGGCAGACCAAGTTCCACTGTTTCCAGGAGTCCATGATATGCCCAGCTGGTTCTGTCCCAGAGGGGCACCCGGGAGCCCCTTCTCCCATTCTCATCGTTGAAAAAATGTTGTCAATCACGTTGAGAGACCAACTGACCAGGTCCATTTTAGTAATTTCCAGTTTTCCAGAAAAAATACAAAAGCGTTGTACACCCAGAGACAAACAAAGAGCCTTGGGGATAAGATAGGGAGGAGAGGAGGAAAGAAGCGTCTGTACACTCAAAGAGTCGGAAGAAGAAGAAGATGAGCTCCCCTGTCCCGCTGGGAGGGTTTCAAACACCGCCATCACCTGCTGCAGCCAGTGGCGGGGTACTGCAGGCCGGCTCCGGCCCAGGAATGAGCTCTCCCCGCCTGCTGTGAGGGTTTGAAACACCGCCATTCTCTGCTGGAGACTGTGGTGCACTGCTGCACATACCGCTGATGCAACAGCTGAGTGTTTATTCTGTTATTGTTACTGGTCTTGCAATGTGAAATGCTTGGTCTCAGATTTTTTAACAAAAATAATAAAAATTCCCTCCAAAATGCGACTTATAGTCCAGTGTGACTTATATATGTTTTTTTCTTCTTCATTATACATTTTATGGCTGGTGCGACTTGTTCTCCGGAGCGACTTGTAGTCCGGAAAATACGGTAATATAATCAATAATCATTGCATGTTCATTATGTGGTAGTGATCTTTTTCTTTCCAGCAAAAGCATTATTCTGGGGTAACCTGCCTGTATCCGGTCCATGATAGTGTATTTACAACTTAGAAATATATAAATACAATATTAACAGAGACATTTATACGGACAAATGTGACCTTGATTCTCCTCTACCTCTTCATGCAGTCACCACCTCTAATCCCACCTTTTCAGTCCACAAATAAAAGGCTTGCTGCGTATCTACTCCTTCAGTCATGGGTGAACAAACGTTGTTTTGGACTTTTTCCGCGAGTCGTTTGTCAATCTGTTCCGTGTCTGCTGCTAAATATCTTTGGCCCTCTTTATATTTTTTGGGGGGAGGTGATGGCGGTACTGTTAACGAATTTAAAGGAAGCGGCATTGTTAAGGTTGCCAGTCTGGCCAGTGAAGAGCAGGAGCCAGGATCATCCAGCTCTAGTGAATGAGCCTGACACCGCCCCTCCTCCTCCTCTCTCCAGGGCTGCTGAGGAGCACAGCTGAGCTAAATCTTCCTGATGAGCAAACACCTGCATAAAAGGGCTGTGTCTTCAGCAGTCTGGGAGGCAGCAGTACAGGGGTTCTGCTGTCCTCCTGGGTTTTGTTTGGTTTTAACCCCTTTTTGGTTGCATTCGTTTGGATTCGTTGGAGTTTTAAACTGTGGTAGTTTTTAACTCTTGGTGATAAGTTTTTTAAATGTTAACTGTATTTGGTGCAATTTTACTGACTTTGGTTTTTAAACACCTTCGTGTGGTAAAGCTTTTAAAATAAGCTTTTACCAGGTGTTTTAATCAGTAAATTGTTTGGGACTTTTTATCAACTTTAGGATTTTAAAACACCTTCTACTCGGTTAAACTTTTAATATAAGTTTTAACCAGGTGTTTTATAGTTGATAATTTGGCTGTGTAATGTTAACCTTTTTAGAGAGATCTGTTTGCTTGTGTTTTTAATACATTTTTGTTACAAATAAACCCATTTTAAACTCCTCCGCCAGTTCTTATGTTACCCCCCATCCTTCACTTTTAACAACACCTGTCGGGAACGTGACAAGTGGGGGCTCGTCCGGGATTTTTTTAAACAACAAGAGGCCGTGAAGGAATCCAAAAATCCCCTGATGGTGGTATTTTAATGGTGTTTTTTTTTTTAGAAAAATCAAAAGCTCGCGGTTTCTTTCACTTTCGACGGATGGATTTTCCACGGATCCCAACACAGTAGTAGCCTACAACACACAACTTACACACAATATATAATACTAAACACAACTGGTGCTAACTACTTTCCTTAAATCACTAACAAACGACTAAACTTCAATATCTAACAGCGAAGCTACCAACACCAGTGTTTTCGAAAACACGTCGGACAGTTGAACATTACCAACGTGTTTTAACATTTACCAGCAAACAACTTGAAATCGTCTGACATTATGACCGACGTGCCTCTTCTCTGATCTTGCCTAAATTAAACCTTCCTGAAAACCATAAAGACTGTTTATAATTTGCTCTGATTCTGGGGCTGCATGGTGGCGCAGTTGTTAGCACTGTTGCCTCGCAGCACGAAGGTTGCAGGTTCGAAACTCGGCTGCGGCCTTTCTGCGTGGAGTTGCGTGTTCTCCCCATGCATGTGTGGGTTTCCTCCTGGTACTCCGGTTTCCCCCACAGATCACAACATGCCCTATAGGTTATAAATTGTAAGTCGCTTTGGATAAAAGCGTATGCCAAATAAATAAACATAAACATAATTTTCAATAATATATCAGAGATTGTCTCTGGTCTCTGCAGCAGCTGCCTGCAGCAGCTCTTCTTTTCAGCCTTTTAATTGATCTGCTCACGGTGCGTGGTGCACTGGAAGCAGATGTATTACACGCTCAACCTAACTTAAGATCATTTCTTATTATTGTGATATTTGTGCTGAACTAAAACGTCAGACAGAATGACATTTTGCCCTAACAGCGGTTTACTAGAGGAGTCCAACAGCTAAGTTAAACCCACATCACCAGTTTCATTTCCACTCTTCAACTAGTCAACACATCTCTTAAAGGAACGGTAACAAAAAGCGCTCATGGATCATTACAACATTTAGAAATATTTTTATATGTATTCTGCTGTTTTATAATGATTTGTAATATTTATATGATGATCTCTAATAATTTCCTTAGAAATTATGTTGGTTTATTTTCTAAGCAGAAGGAATGGTTAATCCTCCTTTTCTGAATTTTGCAGAAAATCACATTGATGATTCTTTTTTCAAATGATGTCAACAGATTATTGACACAATAAAAATATGTATATTATGTAAAGGTCAGAGACCACTACAGTAACCACTTCAACTAAATACAAATCTGAAGCACACAAGGTCATTGTCGTGTGTGGTTAAAAAAATGACCTGCGTGAGGCACTTTCACGCTGCCAGTTTGGCAGGCGTGGCTCAAAAGTTTTTGCAAACATTGTAACACTATCAATTTATAATACTCAAAGCTATGCTAAAGATTCTAGCTAAATGCTAATGCTAAACAATTTCTAACATGTTAAATTGCGTGAACACTTGCTTGCTAATCAAACTCCCAACTCCCAACGAGGCGTGGCCGAGACTCCGATCCGTTTATAACCCACAGCCACAGTGCTGCTACGTAGTATGGGACCAGCTACGTGACATGGGACCTTTCAGTCAATGGCTAAGATGGATTCAAATTGAACGTGTTGCATAGTTTAATGCCGAAGAGGGAACTGCACTGACTGTTTTATACTGAATTTTGACATTTTAAAGAAAATGCACCAAAACGCCAATTTAATGACTACACATGTTAACTTCACCATTAGACACTCATTTATACAGTTTATTAGCAAAATAGTTGATTTGGTGTGGCTTGCGCTTTAAAAAGTTGAGCATGTCTCTGTCACCCTCTGCGAGCTTGTCAGAGAGTCCTTGCAGCAACGCATAATGGCGCTGCATGAAGTGAAGTTGCAATAGAACTGCATTAATGGCCTGTTTGAATTTAGTCTTGATGCATTTTTCCAACAGAAATAGCAGGACTTTTTTCTGGTGATACTCACAGGGTTCTGATTGGCTTGGGAGAGTCACATGATGTACCTTCTGACCACTGAAGAGCAGCTCTGCACCTCCCCTAAACAGAGAATTATTTAATTTAAAAAATGTGTTTGTTATAATTCAATTCAATTCAAAGATACTTCATTAATCCCAGAGGGAAATTTGAGTTTCAGTACACACAATTCTGAGATCAGACATACATACATAGGCATAGACACATGACAAGAATTGGTGACTGCGGTGATTCGCAACCCGAGTCGCGCTACCTTAATAGAGATCAGAGGGTTTATATGAGGATTGGGTCAGGTGGAGGAAAAAAAGGCATTTCAGAGTTACCCTCCACAGAGAGGGCAGCTTTGCTACGCAAAAAACACCTCAGACAGAAATGCAACAGACTTCAGACATTACAAAACATAAGTGTCCAGTAGGTGGGGAGGTAGGGTTGGGGACTCTCCAAGCATCAGTGCGTGCAGCCGCGATAAGCAGCGCTCGTCACCTCCGTTTGGACAGGGGAGGGAGGTAATTGGGTTAGAAAGCACAACGGTTCTACGGCCTTCAACGATCACAGTCCTGCCCAGGCTGGGATAGGGAGACAGAGTTGCCATGGCGATGGCAGCATTCCACATTTCTTCTGAGGGGGAGTAATCGCTTCAGCCTCACAGGCACCAGATTCAGATAAGAACTTGTTTTGGGGCCAGACAGAGATAATTTCCTCTCTGCCTTAAAGTTCTGTTGGTCTCCAATCCCACTGAATCCAATAATGGCGTAAATTAATCTATTCCCAACCGTGCTGTCCCGTCAACTCTCTCCTTGATCGAATCAACCTTCTCTGCCAGAGTCTGAATCTCAGCCAAAGTTCCAAGCTTACGACTCATCTCGACAGTTATATGAGTTTGTGCGTTTACAGCTTGATGTAATCCATCTCTGAGCTCCGGGAGCGAGCCAATATTCCTCGACAGCTCGTTAATTTTCCGGTAAGCCAGGTAACCTCCCAGGCCAAAGAGCAGGAAACCTGACGCCAACACCACAAATATCCAGACGTCTTCAGAATCCTCTACAGACAGCTGAGACAGGCAGACCAAGTTCCACTGTTTCCAGGAGTCCATGATATGCCCAACTGGCTCTGTCCCAGAGGGGCAACCGGGAGCCCTTTCTCCCGTTCTCATCATTGAAAAAATCTTGTCAATCGCGTTGAGGGACCAACTGACCAGGTCCATTTTTAATAATTTCCTGTTTCCAGAAAAAATGCAGAAGTGCCGTACAGCCAAAGACAGACAAAGAGCCTTGGGATAAGATAGGGAGGAGAGGAGGAAAAAAGGGTCTGTAATCTCCAAGAGCCAGAAGATGAATATCTTTATGTAGCCCAGGCTACAAACCTTGATAATTGCCCTGTTAATCCTTTTTTTTTTTTGTGTTAGAGTTGTTCTTGTCCGTTCTGTCGTCATGGTTACTGATAGCGTAGTGTTGTGCGGCCATGTGACATGCTCCAGTCAGCAGATTTAATCAAACAGCTGGAGTGCTTGGTGACCGGAGGGAGAAGGGAATACACACGGGTTGAGCGTTTGCTGCAGGTACAAGGTTGCTTTTCACCTATTTCGTCATTAAACTTGCAAACTAAAAAGTAATCATAATGTTAAACTTTAGGAGCCGACTATCGAGCTGTTGAGGGGTCGAAGGGAGCGCTGTGCGGGGTTTACAGAACGGTAAGTCGGGCTGCCATTTGTTAGTAGCTTAGCCTAGCCGTTCCATTGGGTTTTCAAATGGACGGTTGGCATGGGTTTTCATGTCATTTTCTCGACATACAAGACATAACAAACAATGTAATCAATGGGAACAATCATTTATGATCGTCAAGATTATTATTCATCATCTGTGATTCCTTAAAGCCATGTTTTGATGGTTAATAATTGTTGTTCTTCCTAGGTTCCTGAGGCCCCTGTTAATCACGGTGGCTGTTATACATCTCAATGATGCTTTTGTTGGCCTTGGGATGAATGGAATTTTCTCTTAATATTTTAATATGCTGATTTATTATAACTATTCAAATAGGATTTATATATTGAATTACTGTACGATACAGATTTGTATGCTGCTGTTAATGCTAAAAATGTGTAGTATTTATAGTAGTATAATTGAGAGTGTGCACCAGATAATTGAGTCCTGTTCATTATTTAGGCCAGGGTTTAATGGCCAGCTAGAAGTCCGAGAACTGTCAAGTCTCATCTAGCCTGAAGAGTTACCTGGAATCTCAACAGAACTGACCTCCATGACCTCCTCAGCTGGGTTGGCTGGTAGGAGGCTCCTGTAGCAGTCAATTTCTCTTCCAGTGATATTCCATGTGACTGATGACCCACACAGTCACTGGACTGCATATTAGCCCAATGGCTTTTGGACTGTAGGCCCTTGGACTGAATTGGGTTTTTGGGGTTTTCTCAACCCCTTGGACTGTGAAATCTCAACTGAGGAGAAACCGAACTACTTGCGCCGAATCGAATGAAATATTTATTCACTGTGTAAATGTGTACATATGTATTGAATTGCCATTCATTCGTGTTTTTTTTGTTTGTTGTCTAAATATTTCTTGTTTGCACAAATATAAGGTACCTCAAAACCACAAACTAGTAATCATTCTGTCTCCTTTTCTCTGCTCCCAGAGCTGAATTTAGACTTCTGATCGATTTTTGCTGTATAGTTATACTTATCAATTCTGAGAGTAACAAAGGGTTACATTTATAAATACAAGAAACTAGTTTTTAACAAATAGTCTTCTTCGTTACTTGGCTCAACACACAGAGAACTGATGCAAACAGGCTCAATAATGAAAAAGTATAGAATTTATTTATTTAGTTTTATAATTTGTACAGAAAAAGTGAAATGTGAATAAAGGCTTTGATGTGATGGAAAAAAAACTTATTCGAAAAGTAGGGATGGATGTGTGTGTGTGTGTGTGTGTGTGTGTGTGTGTGTGTTATTATATGCACACATGTACACTTCTGAGATGATTACGATCACTGTCACATGACTAAACAATCAACCCACATCACACACACATCCTCACCCCATCACCCTCTGAAACAGATATATAAACAGAAACAAGATGGAAAAAATATTGGTTGTTAATATTGGCTCAGTTTTATTTATTGGACCGATACCGATGTTTAAAAAATTGACTGACATCGGCCGATATCATTGTTGATGCTGACATATCGGACATCCCTAGTGAAAAGTTTTCATTGAGAATATCAATAAAATAAAATATTTTTAATTAAATGACAATAAACTGTGAGTAAAAGGCCGCATTCACAGTCTCCTTAAAATACATGTATCATCAGTTATTCCATTTAAATGTAGTTAGACTGAAGCACAACGGCGCTTTTCTTCCTAGAAGAGACAGACGTGTGCCCTGCAATGCCGGGGTGCATTTTTCAGCACAACACCTATTCTCGTCGGTGTCTGGTTCAGCTCGGCTCATAAATGTAAACTTAGTTGCACAACTTAAAACATAGACTAGAGAGTAGAGACATGGGTACATGGGGCTGAGATGTAGGATAGTTTCTGGTTAACTAAACATTCTGTAAATATAAATTGTGCTTTGAGAAGTCGAGTCGCTCTGATGTTTAGGTCGCTGCTGTGACGTTAGACCCGCTGTAAAGTGCTGCTTTTCCCGGAAATGAGAGGAAAACTCACAATCACTGATTGAGTCCCTCAAAGAGTTACAAACACTGAGAAACACAGGAATAAAACGCCTTAAACGTGCCTACCCAAACTCCAGCTGTAGAGCAACGGAAGCTGCCATATTGTCGGCACACACCGGAAGCAAAAGAAAAAGAGGCAGAAGTGGTTGTTAAAATACATTTCAAAATAAAATTATAAAACCACCATGAAAGATTTCGTACTTTTCACGATTCAAGTGTTATTTTTTGTTCTCCGTTGTACCCACTGTTTATGTGTAATTTTACACAACAAATAAACAATCAACCAAACAAAACGATTAAACAACAATAAAAAAAAAATAATAAAAAATGCTACATATAGGGGGAATTAAATAAATCTGGTCTACAAGAATGTTCCAGAACCATGTTTTTGGCCAATTCTAAACTTAGTTTTGAACAACATATTAGTAGTTGAACGCCATTTCTTATGTGGTGCATTTCGCATTCAATTTATTTATGTTTTTTTTTGTTGCAAAAATTATAACAATATAACTATAAACAAACAACACCAGTACCAGCACCAGCATGCTGCTATTAAGGCATTTATCTAACTCAAATTAAACATTATTTTCATATTTTATTTACTTTTTGCTGATAAGAAATCAAAGATGGTTTTCAGTCTTTTAATTCAACATCCTTTCTGTGATTTTTAATTTGGCCGGTCTTCACAGTTTATTTCCATCTGCATGAGCTCTCCTTTAATTACAAATACATATTTAGTCTTGTTCTATACACATGTTTTAGAAATACATAGCTGTAAAAAATTAACTGTAATACGTTTTCTTTAGGATTTTACAATCAGTTATTTATTCTAATTTGTCTGAAATAAAAAACTACCAATAATCTGAACGAGTACAGTATTTTGGGGTGTTTTATTTGACGAAAGCAGACAAAATATTTGTCTGTTCAGTGAGCTTGGTGTATTTTTTCCCCAATTTTAAACGAGATGGATTCTCCAAGTGTGAATTTTTTATACCTTTAAAGTTGATTTTCTTTATAATGTCATTTATAAATAATTGTTGCAAAAAAAAAAAAGAACTGAAACCACCAAACAGTCACAGGCGTTTTGTCTGCGTGTGCATGTGAAGGTGCACACTGATGATGTGAATTTCACATCTGTCCCCCCTCTCCCTCCTCTCCCATACATTCTCCATCATACCGGCAACAGTTTCAGTCACGGCGGGCTGGATGAGGGGGGAGGATGAGAGGGATCAGGGTAGTGTGGTGTGGTGTGGACGGTCAGAGGTTTGAATTGCAAATCTGCTGCCTTCTGTTGGCCTCCAAGCCTAGCGGGCCCTTCCCATGCCTTTATTCATGTGTTAATGAGAAGTGAGTGCAGGGGCAGGCAGACAGATCGAGCAGGGCCTGGTGGGGGTGACGGAAGGGTGAGGTTTGGGTGAGGAAGCCCTCTGAAAACTGAAGCTGCTGTGAACGTTTCTTGGAAAATGATCCTCACACAGGTGAAAGCAGAAAAAGGATTACCTCAGATGGAGGGGAAGAAGCTCATTCTTCTTTTCACTTTAATCAATTTTCTTAATAATCTTCATTTCTTTAGCAATTAGAATGTCGTTTTTTGTATGTTTAACACAAAAATGTCCAAAGTGACTTCCACTACACCACATCCTGATGACTAGACTTTCTCTCCAACAACACACCCAACCCACAAATAAATACATAATAACAGAGTCATATTTCTTTTTCAGCTCTTCCAGTATCTTCCAATGCCACGCCACCATGGCTCCAGCTTTAGAGCAGCCAAGGTCACACATGATCAGATGACAATGACCAACACGCCGGATCGTCTATAGAAGGATTGTGAGGAGAGATTAGGGAGTGAATTGATGATGTTTGCTGGCAGAATTGCTGGCTGACAGGCCTGCGAGAGCTGGGATGTGTTTCCATGAGAAAAATAAAGAGCTGAAATTAACATGATACCAAGCAGAGAGAATCCTCTTAGAGATTACATGTTACGCCTCTGGAACTGTAAAGAAATAGGAGACAAAGATCTCATTGTTATAACAGATTACCCAGTGTTTTATCATGTTTGATTGTCTGATTAAAACAATTATTGTGTCATAAAAAAAGTCTAGAATGAAATTCTTTATCTGAGCTCTTTCAACAGATGGCTCCATTTCCTCCTGTATTAAGAGAAAACCTGCAAGAGAGACAACTCTTGCAACACTGGTGCTATAGCACACACACACACACACACACACACACACACACACACACACACACACACACACACACACACACACACACACACACACACACACACACACACACACACACACACTCCATCTGTCCCCCGCCCCCTCCTGCTGCCACACCACAGGGCTATATGTGAAGCAATGTGCAAAAACACACGCTCAATGCACACTAGATTGCATATTTTCGTTAAAAAACTGCTTTTTTGTATCTTTGGGTAACATTTTAAAGCTTCGATAGAGGAACCTAAGGGTTCTGAACTATGAACAAACCAAGGAAACGTTGTCGTCGTCTTCCTCCGCTTATCCGGGTCCGGGTCACGGGGGCAGCACCCCAACTAGGGAGCTCCAGACCGTCCTCTCCCCGGCCACCTCCACCAGCTCCTCCGGCAGAACCCCAAGGCGTTCCCGGACCAGATTGGAGATGTAACCTCTCCAACATGTCCTGGGTCGACCCGGGGGCCTCCTGCCGGCAGGACATGCCCGAAACACCTCCCCAGGCAAGCATCCAGGAGGCATCCTGACCAGATGCCCAAACCACCTCAACTGACTCCTTTCGATCCGGAGGAGCAGCGGTTCTACTTTGAGTCCCTCCCGAATGTCCGAGCTCCTCACCCTATCTCTAAGGCTGAGCCCAGCCACCCTACGGAGGAAACTCATTTCGGCCGCTTGTATCCGTGATCTCGTTCTTTCGGTCATGACCCAAAGCTCATGACCATAGGTGAGGATTGGGACGTAGATCGACCGGTAAATCGAGAGCCTGGCTTTCTGGCTCAGCTCCCTCTTCACCACGACAGATCGGCTCAGCGTCCGCATCACTACAGATGCTGAACCAATCCGCCTGTCGATCTCCCGATCCCTCCTACCCTCACTCGTGAGCAAGACCCCGAGATACTTAAACTCCTCCACTTGAGGTAGGACCTCTCTCCCGACCCGGAGTTGGCAAGCCACCCTTTTCCGGTCGAGAGGAAGGAAACCCCAAACTAAACAAAATATGAACTGAGAATTTAGATAAAACTGAGCTATTTCACACTCAGTCTTCAAAGTGAACCAAACCAAGGGAAAGACGTTGATTACAGTTTAGTTTTCAGTCACTAACAAGCATTTTTCCAAACAGTAGTCACATTTTTAAAACTCTTACAACAAGCACAGCAGTGGTGTGTTTTAGCCGTACCATTCACAAGTTTCAGGTCGTTTTCACACAATATGCAGTCAACACAGTTCTATAATGCTTACATTTTCTTAACAGATAAGTGTAGCGTCACCGAAGGTCCTCTAATTTGTGGCAAAGGTCACATCTACCCAGCTGGGTCAAACAGTACTTTTAAATCCACAGATTAAACAAGGAGCCACAAAGTCTGCTCAAGATCATATCCATATCTGTTGCTGTTCCATCCCAGGAGGAGGACACTTCAAGTCACGATGATAATAATTACATAATAATAATTAATAAAACTCATTGATTTTATTACTGTTTAATATAATCATCATAAATGATCACTTGGTTCAATATAAAGGTATTTTAATTACATGAAATGAATTTATTATTTGGGTATAACAATAATAATGATTAATTATGATTATGGTTGATGACAGTAAAAGATGTGTTCAGCAAAGAAGGTCAGTACACCTTATCCATCTAACACAGAGTCCACATAAACGATAACTGCAACACATGTTTTTGACGCATGATCAAAGCTTTCTTGGGGAGAGAGTGGGAGTGTCCTGAGAGCTTGGTATAACTGTAACCATCAAAGCTTCACATCAGTTCTTGAACCAACACCACGGAGCAAGGGAACGGCCGTCCCTAAAACCTCCACCTGCTGTTCAGTCACGCCAACAAGAATAGCTAAGAATAAACCATCGGAATAAACGCAACTGTAACCAGCTAACGAAGACTCTACCCAGAGTTGTTGATTTCTGAGTAAGTTAAGACGAGAACGTCCATCCGCAAACGCTTGACAACTGTGTACCCCGGACATCTCTGGACCAGATGACTGGACACTCGCGTCTCCCCTGCCGGACCGAGTGTTATCTTGGATGAACAACATCCTCCTCATCTCTGGATCCATAAGAGGGTCTCCATTTGGGTGAGGTAGAACACAGGAATGCGTTTGATGCTGTTTTCTCTAAGTGAAAGACTCAGTTAGCTGCAAAACTTCATTTTCATCCAGAACGCTTCTTCTCTCCCTGAAAGAAACCTTCAAATTATCCCATTCACGCATCCAAACTCGTATTTTCATTTAGCTTCCATCCAGCCACAGGTTCGCTTTTAAAACACGTTTAATATCAAAGCAGTTAAAAATTGTCATTGAAGTGTCATCCATGAATTGTCGTTTCAAATCTTTGTTTAAAATTGTTAGAAATAAAATTCCTTCATTTTTTAAACTTGCCTCATTATTGAAATAAAACACAGAAATGGTATAACATTTCTGGTTATTGGCAAGCAAAGATCCTAGCTTCTGATTCAAAATAACTTTTGCTATTAAATTTAATTATCTAAATTAAACATTAATCCTATGATTAAAATTAGATCAAACAGGTTGGTGTATGAACTTAGATCATATATAAGTATCCGGGATATTTATACATGATCTAAGCCTCATAGGTTAATCTGATTGGTCATTTTTCAGAATCTCCAACCGAATAGCAACAGAGTTGATTCCAGTGTGTAGTTTAATTCTCTACACAAGCTATACCTTACACAAGATTTGAGAGAAAAACTAGCTGCTAATCAACAATTATCCAAATGATAGACCCACATCAGATTTATATGTATGTGGGGTAAATTGGGTGAACCATTGGTTCCAGATTGAATTTCAGAGGCAGGTGTTGAAGGTGTATCACCTGGGATGTAACCCCAAAGATCCCCAACGTTAGGTCATTTTATATTTTCTGTTTTCCCCCTTTCATTCAAGCGTTTGTGTTTCTGTTTTTGTGTGTCTGCTAAGTGTTTTCTGTGTGGCTGCTCGTGGATGTTTCATGAATATTTTGTTCATTGAAAGCAATAAAGGAAAACTTGTATACTGTAAAGGAAAAAAAAGATTTATTTTTCACGGAATAATTCAGAATGCGAATGTTAGATGTGAACATACAGTTCCCAACCAACAAATACAGCGCAGGGACGGCATGGACGGCATGGATGTAAATTTCACTTTAGAAGTGGGGGGTGGGGGGTGGGGGTGGGGGTGGGGTATCTTTACAGTATGTTCTAATGGGAAACAGGCTTATAGACAAACAGTTGTTTTCCGCTTGGTCCTAGAGCTCAACTAGTGTCAATTTAATAAAAAGTAATATTGTTTTTGGATGGTAAAAAGTGCAGGGGTCAAAACTTGACTTTGGAAAAATTGGGGGGGACTCCCCCCCCCCCCCCCCCCCAAATTACGTCCATGAGGGACGGTGAGTCTGCAGGTGGAACTCAAAAAATTGGAATATTGTGGAAAAATTCATTTATTTCAGAAAGTCAGCTTATGTAAAAGGTGAAAATAATACACGAGGTAGACTCATGACCTGAAAAGCCAGATATTTCAAGCTTTTCTTTGTTATAAATGTGATGAGTATGGCTTACAACTTATGAGAACCCCACAATCTAAATGTCACATAAGAATATTACACAAAATCAGTAACATTAGGATTTTAAATAGACAAATGTGGGACATTTTAAAAATCTGGTGCACTTTGATTGACAGCATGTATCTTGTGATCTGAAACCATGGCTTATTATTTGACAGAATAATTTCATTGTGTGTTTTGGTAAAGTTAGTGAGTGCAGAGAAAGGTGAATTTTATTTTGAAATTATGTTCTAGTTAATATATTTAACAAAATGTGTTTTTGAGGGGAAAACAGCTATTTGGAGGATTGTGCTTTGTAGGTATGTGTTATGTGAAGCAGGAGTTAGTGCTTTTTAAATACTGAAAGAAAGTATAAAGGCAGGTTTGAGCCTCTGGACTCAGCAGAGAACTCAGATTTAGTTAGAAGGAGAACTGCTGCTCTCTAGTGGCCTTGTGGTGCATCGACATGTTTCCTAAGGATCATTTATAGAAACGTTTACATTCTCCTCAGTGAACGTGGTGATAATAGAGATGGCATTTGTCTTTTCTACATATTGTGACATCTGTATAGATTTGCTGTCCTACACATTAAACACTGTCAAAACTGAAAGTTCTCAGTACAAATGCAGATTTTTTGCATTAAAACATTTTCACAAAACACAAAGAAGCAGAAGTGTGAAAATTTCATCTGATAGACTGTAGTACAGCTAGTACTCAATGCAAAACAATAAAAATACTCCACATGCATTAGCTTCTGATAGAAAATAGACAGAGAAACTCTAGGATTAGAAAATTCTGACAGATCTACGTCACACTGTCACTTAACATTCATGGACTCACCCATCATGACTTGTGACGGGGAAGGCTGTTTTTGGTTTAGCGTCCAGGAAACAGCAGGGAACGTCTCAGCTAGTAGAAGCTAACCATTAGCATTAGCAACTCCACCACATGGCAGAAGCTTGTGTTATTTGTGGAGATAAAACATGAGCGTTGCAGAGCAAACAGAGTCAATGGTAGAGTTGCATTGCTGTTATCCAGTCTGAGGCAATGTTTATTTTTTCTTTATTTAACCAGGAATGTCCCATTGAGATCAAAAACCTAATTTTTAAGGGAGTCCTGACCAAGCCGCAGCAAAAGTTGCAGTTACAAAACATTTCAGTAACACAGAGATGTTATGTACAAAATAACAGAAGGCAGTTACAACACAACACAGGACACCTGTCTGAAGGGCCCTCAGTCTGGTTTTAAATGTATTCAAGGAGATAAACTTGGTTAATTTCCTGTTTTCCTGCAGCCTGAAGGAGCAGAGTGGACGAAGGCCCTTTTGCCCAGTTCAGTGAGAGCAAATGGAACACAAAGTAACGACTGATTGTTTCTACGCACACTGTGAGAAGTTACACTTCTCTGTGAGAGTTGTAGATGTCCAAATGGAAACAAGACTCCAAATCTTGGCATGTTGAGCACTCCTCTGATGTAGCAGACTTGTTTATGCTGAAACAGGCATTTCTGGGGTTTCTTTTTGCCTCGAAATACAGCTTGCAAGGCATTCATTTCACTGCAAATATACTGATTAAATACGTTTCCCACACATTTTTAGAGATTCAACAACAAACACAGCACAAATAACTGCTTAGTACCTCTATTGATCTGATGATGTCCTAGTTGGGGGGCTGGGGGCACGAGCCACCCGAGCTACCCGAGCCATTAATTCTGGCCTCGCCTGTGCACTTATCAGAGAGTTGTTACTGGTTAGACCTCCATATAAAAATTCATTTAACTTCCACAACCAGAATAAAGTAAATGAAATATTTTCATTTTGCTGTTTTAATTCATTTGGTGCAATGAGGGTTAAGATGCCTAATTTTTAATGAGAACACTGAGGTCAAAGTAACAAAATGTAAAATGTCCAAAAACTCCTCCCACCCACTGCACTTCACTGTGGAGACCATGGACAGCTCCTTCAGAGGCATACTGAGACATCCCAGATGTAAAACAGAACACTACCGTAGGTCATTCATCCCCTCTGCAGTAAGAGTGTATAACTCCTCAGTTTAACTGGTACTGGCATTATCCTGGTACACAATAACATCAATGCAATACTCAGTATGTGTTCAATACCTGTGCAACACCAGATGTACATTAATATGTCTGTGTCTCTTATGCTGCTTAGTGCTGGGACCCCAAGTTTACTTTTCATTTGTTGTTTTTAGAAGGTGAAGGTTACAATAATATCTTACTGCCTTTGTGGATTTATGTATTATTACTGGAAATTTGAATAGAAAATTTGAAAATATTTTTTGATCATGTTCCAATTCCTTAACATTTCGTTGCATGTTTTTTAAAGACCCTCTATTTATTCCCAAATTTGAGGATACTGTGCTTTTAAATCATTTTAGATGGAGCGTTAAATCTTGGTGGAGAAGATGTGGTCTGAAGTTTCTGGGAACGATGAGTTGAGCAGCTTTTACTCACAAATTTCAGGTTCTGATGTCATTCAATGCAGTTTTCCTGAGCAAAAATCAAAAACTCATCACCACAAGCAATTATTTTATTCAAAAAAGTGACCTGCTATGTACAGTACAAAAGAAAACATGAGATCAATCCTGAATTATTCCTGAACTTTTTGCTTTTCTCTTCATACAAATAAAAACATCATCGTTACCAGTGAAACCTAAACCAGTAGGCATTCCGTTGGTCTGAAAACACACAAATAAAAGTCCTTTTCCTGTTTGTCTTAGATTTTTTTTTCTGCTGACTTCCTGATGGAGCAGACACACAGCGCCAAAGCTGATCCTCACAGCCATAATAATAATAAAAACACAACAAAATCCAACTTCCTCTCAAAGATTTCAACCACAAAACGCTGGAACAGAAGGAACATTTTCAGAGGAATTTCCAAATTATTATCAGCTGCGACCCGGTTCTGTCCTCTTGGATGAGAAAAGTTCAAGATTTCCTAAAACCCTCCGACTGGGACTCGTCTTCTCAGCCGTGTGACTGAAATGATTGCATAGCTCCGAGAGTTGGCTCCAGCCCTCTCAGACCAATTCAACAATCTAACACAGAAAAATTTGAGCGAAGTAGAAAATAAATTAGTCATTTTTTCTTTTCTGCAGAAAAAAAAAAGAAATCAAACATCCAGAGGGCATTCTTTAAAAAACAAAAACTCAAACAGAACTCAAAAACTTGAAAAATGGCATTTTTCCCAAAATCTTTTAAGATTCCCAACAAACACAACATTTCGTCATTGATTTATTTGTGTATTTCTCATATTTGACACTCATTTAAATTATTATTAAAGCAACATTTAACTTGCATGCATCAACCATTTCAGCAAGCAAATTATGTTCATTAATGTTCACGCACAAAGTGAAACATTGCTTTAAGTCAATTTAAAGTGCACACGCTCCTCTTTTAATGGTTGTAATGAAGGTTTTGTGCACAGAACACGGAATATGAAAGGACTTCAGCAGCCAAAACAGAGGGCGCTTGCTTCTGTTCTCTTAACTCAAAAGGCTGCATTTCTTCTGCAAACGCCTCATTTTCAGATACGTTTATTAATGCATGCCTGATACATTTTCAATGGGACATATTAAATGAGGTTTTATTAGTAAAGTTCCCTGGTGATGGAGAAACATTCTTGTGAGGTTTGTGATGAAACGTCCACAATGGTTTGATTTTCTCTCATAATAACAAATAAATTAGATTAAAAAATGTAAAAAATCATGATGTACAGAAATGAATGAGCACACTTCCAGACACATCCACACACTAAACATCTATGTATGAGCTATCATTTCAGCTACAGTGTGAGACAATTGTGTTTTAATGGAGCAAAGCCAAACTTTTACAGCTCCGTTTGGCCCTCAGGGCGCACCGTACAAATGTTTTTACCTCTGCTTGCCTGTCCTCTTTCTCACTTTTCTTATTTGCTTTGAAATATCTTAACGCCAGGTACGTCCACAGGAAGGAGGAGAAGAGACGGCGTTAGTTTGATTCCACAGTGAATCTCTCCTTTCTGAATTCCTCTTTAGCTGCCTTCTAACTCCATCTCAGAACCCCTCCGTTCTGCTGTGAGTGTTGAGTGCAATCAGGAGAAAGTCTTGACCGCGCAGAGAAAACAAGGGCAGATGCTATAGCTCGCTGTGGCGCACAGGAGGCTCTAGTTTGTGAGACAAAGCCGTGAGAACCTTGTCGAACTTCTCGTAACGTTCCGCCTGGCTGCCTTCAGAGCCGCGGCTTCCCCACAGGAGACGCATCTGAAACTCCGTTTGGAAGATCTCACGTATCTCAGCTAGCTCCTGAAATCCTGAAGGGAAGGAAAGAAAAGTTTCGTCTCAACAGTTCCAGCTTTTGGATGTAAAGTCACAATGTGGTGTTAATGGTGAAACATCTGATGGTAGGCCTATAGAAGAGTTGTTGACCAGAACAGACGGAGGTCAGCGGGATCAATAGCAGGTGCTAACAGGAAACACAGGCGAGAGCTGAAAGCTATTGGCAGGAAGTTCAATAAAACAGTAATGGACTCTAATGAAGAACCGATAGAGAAGTATTAGGATCAATACAGTCAACACAGCTGATCAAATCAGTGTGACACGGATGCAGAACACACACAGCCCAGTATCGACAACTAAAATTCCCTCCTAATTCATGAAAATCTGATTTTTAGTGGGTTTATTTTCCTTTGACTGCCTTTGACTGAAACAGCTGATTTGTTCCCTGTAAAGGCACCATAACTGGGATAGTTGGGAACCAGTCACAGACACAGAAGTGCACATTTCTGCAAAACTCACATTTTAAATGTCAGAACTATGTGAGGAAATGCATATAATGTCACTGAAAAGTAAAATGGCTTGTATTTGTACAGCGCCTTGTTAGTGTTAAACCCCCAAGGCGCTTCACAACACAATCAGTCATTCATCCATTCACGCGTACATTCACACCCCGGTGGGGATGAGCTACAATGTAGCCACAGCTGCCCTGGGGCGCACTGACAGAGACGAGGCCGTTGAGCACAGGTGCCACTGGTCCCTCTGACCACCACCAGCAGGCTAGGCTGGTTAAGCGTCTTGCCCAAGGACACAACAGCAGCATTCTCTGATCAGAGCCGAGATCGTTTATTTTTTATATAGAAAGAAAATTCCTGTAATGTGGTGTACTTGTTTAGTTTGAGATTGTATGGAAGGTTATGTGCTTACCGAGGTTTTTCCTGAATCTCCACTGCTGCCCCCGGCTCTCTGTGTTGTGTCACTCCAGCATATGGGAGCACTATGAAGGCACCTGCCCACAGTCCAGCCTGACTCTGTTATGCTGAGTCTGTGTATGTCTAATCTTGGACGGGTTGTTCTGACACTGTAATATCGTTGTACTGGTACGCTGGTTCAATGGCAATAAAAGCTTCTTAATTATTGAAAAGAAAAGAGTTTTAACAGTGAAGGAGAATCTATATTTAGTCATTTTTATTTGTTGGGTTTTATTTGTTCCAGTATCTTGTCCCAGTATTCGGCCTGGGGGAGATAACTTCAAGTTTTTCTTTATGAACAGATTTTCCAATTTTGCTTCAACAAGAAGTTAAAAAAAATCATTTTTATTCTTTATTTTTAATTTTTTGGAAAGTTTAGAAAAATGTGAAATCTGAGCTAACCAGAAAATATGATCATTGATCCTTTTTCTACCTTTTATAAAACATGAATCTGTTTATTTTGCCTTTGATGATGGTGATCTCTACACATCGAGCTCAGCTGAGGCTCTCACCCTGCAGTTTGTTCTCTGCGTTGCTTCGGTAGATTTCCCCGTGGTGAGCGATGGTCCGCGCCGCCTCCAGGTGGAACATGACCACATCCACTCCCGCCTCTGAGCTCTCCCACGGCTCCAGCACCTCCCCGATGGCCGCTCCTCGCTCCAAAAGGGACAGGACCGGAAGGATGTGGGGGAAGGTGGTGTGGGAAAGGACGCTGGATTCTGGAAATAACCAAACATTGGTGTTCAGCTGCACATTTTAATATTTTAGCATGAAACAATAAAAGCTACACCTCACCTTTACCATCATTTAAGTTTTTTAAAAAGGGTTTGAGCTTCTTTTCATAAAGAATCGCTCCTTCTGTGTGCCTCTGACGTAAAGTCGCCCACGTCTGCTCCAGGCGGGAAATCTGAAAAATTAAAATATTAAAACACGTGTTGCATACAAAATATTTTTGGTGGAGTTCTATGTGCAGGGTTCTCACCTGTGGCAGCTCCAGGGTTCTCATCACAGCAGCGAACCCAAACATGTTCCCCAAATAGCTTTTTAGCTCTGCTGCTAACTGGATGGTCTTATGGAGGAGGGCTGCTCTCTCCTCTGTGCTCCCCGTGCAGCCCAGAAGATCCACAGCCATCATGATGGACATGGTGTAGAACCTGAGTGGGAAAAACACACGGCTCATTAGGAAAAGTACAATTAATGTATGTTATTGAGACTAAATGCCTCGTATTTAAAATGTGACTACTTTTCTTTAATTTTTGTCTTTGCTAATACAAATACATGATAAATGTGGTAGGAAATGTGCAAAAGTGTAGGTTTAGGGTAAAACAAACAAGAAAAAGGTGAAAATGGTTAGGAAAAATAATAGAATAGTATAAATAAATGAATAAATGAATAAATAAATAGCCTGAGGACCTCTCCAGCAGGTCAAGTCTCAACTGGTGTCCATGAGGTAACGTCAGCAGCTCCAGCCCCGAGGAAACTCCCATCATTCTTTGCATTTCTGGGGTTACACAAAATATTCTTGCAACCTAGACAAGACGACAGATAAAGAAACTTGTTGTTGTTCAGCATGCTGGATAAGTGTTTGATCACGTGCACATGGTGGGCGTGTGTGTCTGCACCTTGCAGTCCAGCAGGGTGATGTGTTTAGCTGTGGTCCTGGCATCAACCTCACCCAGCAGCTCTTTGACCCTCTTCAGCACAGACATCTCCAGAGGTTTGTTTTCAGCGGGGATGAGGCCAGACTCGTACCTGCACAAACATCAAAGCAGAAATTAGTTTGCTGCTCTCAAATTTTAAATTATGACAAAAAAGTAGAAACAGAAGATGTAATTCCTTCGTTTAGGGAGCACAAAGAGAAGGGTTTATTAGAATAAACGTGTCTGGATGGTTGTTTGGTTTCATACCTGGAGGGCTTGAACAAAGAAGTCGTCTCCACCTGCGGAGGGATGAATGCCTTCTCCTCTTCTTCCCTTGCTTCCTCCTGCCTCCCTTCTTCCACTCTGAGTCGCTCTACGTAGCCCCTGGCGGGGGGTTTGGGGGGCCCGGAGGGGCAGGGTCTGAGGTCACAGTAACTCCCTGCCGTCTCTGAGGACTGGAAGCTGCAATGATGGGCGGGTGAGGAGTGTGCTGAGTGAGAGGTGCGTGTGGCATAATCTGGAGGAACGGGACCATCGGAAGGACTGAGCTGAGGGTCGCTGGAGCGGCGCATCACCGGGGAGGGAGGGATGACGGCCAGAACCCGCCCGCCTGAGTGGGCTCTCTGCCGGGTGACTGAAATTTTTAAAAGGAGAGAGAGGGGGAGGCTTTAACTCTCTAATGGGGAGTGTTTGTGGACGTGGGGATGTATTATTTATGTGTCTGAGTCTGTGTGTCTCTGGCACTTACTGGCACTATAAGCAGGAGACAGCGGGGTTTCCCCGACAGGCGACAAGGGGCAGCGGTACTCCTGAATCTGGTCCATGCTCATCGCACAATTCCGCATTGCGTCTTTGTGGTGGTGGATGGTCGACGGGCTGAGAACAGGAACATTAGGATGTTAAAAAGCTTTCAGTGTCAGGCCTCTGAGAAACAGCAGAGTTGAAACACTCCATCTTTTGGGGTGAAAAACATTTTAGTTCGGGAGTGACTGTTACAGAAGTTCTGATTGTGTGATTTTTAAACTACAACAGTGTTTAGGAGCAGAAGCAGACGTGCATTAGTGCAAATAATAACAAATGAATCCTGATCCTAATCATTTCATCTAAGGAGCTGATCAAAAAGAGGTTTCCATCGATAAGTATAAAGGTTCTGTCTGCTCCTCTCCAGGTTAGGAACGTCAAGTTTAAAAACAGCCAGGTGGCGTTTGAAACTTGTCTGATCTGGTGCACAGGTGTGTGGATGTGATGTTCTTCACAAAGGGAGGGGTTAGCTGTGTCTGTGAGGGGGTGGGGGTGGGGTGGGGGCTTTAGGAACATGGAGGGACGGTGCCTCGTTAGTGTCACACTTATAAAAGCACAACCTGCATCGGGGCAAAGGTTCCGGTTCTGGTTCAGGCGGCGCCACTGGTGTCCCAACTGGACTGGGACTGTCCGAGTCACTGATCGTGTATGTGATGTAAAAAAAAAATATTCAGTGAAGCAATGAAAAGGTCAGAGTTCAAATAAAACAGCAGAAAAAGAGATGGAATGAATCCTAGCGGAACAACAAGTCACAAATATGAAATCAGAAATTTTTGTTTAAAAGTTAAAAAAATCTGGCTTTGTAATTAAAAAAGGGTCAAATAAACATGGTGTTCTTTTGGCTCCACGGGAAAAGTTTTAAACAATCACAATTAGTAGTTTTTACACTTTCTCATCTGTTTAGGTTGTTTATTTTTAAAACTTGGTAGTTAACTTTGACGGTTTGGCTTTTACCTTTTTGTATTTTTAGTAATCATTAAGAAGGATTTAGATCTGGTCTATCTGTTTAACCCCAGAACACTAACATTAAAATTAGTAACCCCATCACTAACGTTGGGTATACTTTACCCAATAAAATATCTAAAATAAAATAGGGTTTTCATCCATTTTTGTAATGGTAGCCTACATTTTATGCCAATTTGTAGTACTATTCTTTCATTTACCAATAAACAATATCACATAAAATTAAAAAGGTGCTATGGGGGACCCTTTAAAATGGCAGCAAAATGATTGAAAAATCAGGTAATCCTTAACAAATAGTTTCCAAACAGAAAACAAATGGAGCTGGGAACTTGTTGTTTGGTCCACCTATTCTTGGTTCAGGTGAGCCTGTCTGGAGAAGTCAGACTCTCTATGACTAACGTCAAAATCACCCAAACGCAGGTCTCTTGAAAAAACACAGATGGGAGGATGAAAACAAACAGGACATCAGTGAGCATGAATTTGTTTTAAAAATCCAAGATGGTTCCACAAATTTTACTTAATGTAAAATATGGAAAATGTAGATCTATGTTTTACCCATCAGAACACTGTTTCTATCCTAAAACCCATCTCACCTGTGAGATATCATCTTTTCGGTTGTCAGCCCATCAGTCATGGTGACGCTCCGTCTTTTGATGTAAGCGCCCCTCTGACTGGACGGCGAGTAGGCAGAGCCTTGTTTGTTGGAGAGAGCGAAGGTGGCCTCCAGGTAACGCAGAGGGAGCGTCCTGCTGACCGGACAGTAGATGTGGGCGCCGCTGGACTGGGTAACTGGTTTACGTTGACCCACAAAATAACGTACAAGCTCCTGGATGGAATCGAAGCTATCCGACTCCAGCATGTACTGAACCTGGAGGAGAGGATGGAGAGCTACAGTTTAAAACTGTCAGATGATCTCAGGACGGATGAAAAGCTATTAAATCTGAAACTGGAAGCTGCAATCCGGTTTTGGCTGTGAACAAAATTAGCCTCCATCTTAGTTATCTGAATCAGCAGAGACCAAAAAAACCAAAAACAACCTTTGGTTAACTCAGTGGGAAACTTCATGTAAAACTGCGTATTTAAAACTTTGGGTTAAAAATAACAATCATTTATATTTTTTTTAGTTTTTATCAGTTAAGTAAATTCTTCAAAAGCTGATGGGCTCAACCTGTGACATCATTAATTCCATTAGACATGACTGAGTATTTTCTAGATCAGTAATTTAAACATGTACGCTGGCTCGTGCAGGTAAACTTAATATAGACAAAGTGGTGTGAAGTCTCATAGCATTTTCACATCTGACCCGGCCCAATCTTGATTTGGTTGGCCCACCCCAGGCACGGCTATTGTTCACACCATATCTGTGGTTCACACAGCCATCTCAGGAATGTGGATGTCTCTGAGGATGTGGGCAGGGCAAAAGACGCAAGGAGAAATCTGAAGTGTCCTCCTTAGTTTAGTACACAAAAGTGGCCATGACCAGTTTTGATTTGACATGAATCACACTGCTTCCTACTCTCACTGAACAGCGGCGCTGGACAGCATTCTGTGCTCGCATCTGAAACATTTGTTTTTAACCACTCCATTGGCAGGCCATCCCTTTAGTACAGCACATTTTAGTCTATTTATCTTATTGAAACTGCACTGAATTAAACTACACTAAATCAATTTAAAAAGTTTTTTAACATGTGGTTGTTAACATAACCACATTATTACCTAAAAATTATGTTATTTTTAAACACTATTTTTGTCCTAGATATACAGAATAATAACCCATATAACCCGGTGGAAGCTAAAAGGTTAATATGTCAATAATCTACAAACCTGAAACCTGCAGCCATAAACATGGAGGAACAACCAGATTTTGGGTATAAAGCAGAATCAATGTGCCCCCTAGTGGCTGGTTTCAGTAAGAGTTTTAGGTCACGCCCCCTCCATACAAACAGATGGGACATTTTCCTGAATAAAAAGATAAAATATTTCTTAGGTTTGACTCCTGTTAATTCAGGTATTCATTATCTTGACTTGTAGTTCAACAACTCTTTTTTCCCTCCATTTTAATTCGTTTTGATGAACGTAGGTAGAGATGATTCGTCTAATTAATCAAGTCTGCACCTACAACCTATAGTAAAAACTGAAGAAGCATTTTGGATGTGAGGTGGAGCATTTTCAGAAACAATTTCTTTAGGATAAATGAAACGTGCATTTAAAACAACATGTTATATTAGCTATGCTAATATAGTTACTATTTTCTCTGAGAAGGCAAAAGAAGTGATACAGATGTGGTAAGACAAATACCTTGGTTTCATTGGATTTGACTAAAATTTTGCTGATTTTGAAGTGAAGAACTTCGTTGTTCCATCGGCAGGTCAGGACATAGTCGCCCACGCTGGTCAGGGAGTCGTGCACGAGGAAATCTCCATTACGCAAAACCAGAGTCTCTGACACCTGATTAATACAAACATCAAGTTCATGAGTTATTAAAAGGGAACAAAAAGTCACAGTCAAGAGACACTCTTCTACTTATTTATTCTATCAAAGATGAATGCTCAGAGTGAGGGATGAGAATCAGATCACTAAGAACCAAATGTGTGTGGATTTCATGTAGAAGATTTCCAACAAATCCTCGGATGCTGCTGATCAAACACAACAAGCCCCCTCTTCGGTAAACTGTTTATCGTTCTGCACAGCTTGGCCAGGCTCAGAGATAAAATATGACAGACAGAATTACTTCCTCATGATCAATTTTATTGACTCCAGCACCACTGTAAGAATGAGACTAATTTTAAATTCATTGACCGTGGAGGCAATCAAGAAAAGTAATGTTCCACTTGTGCTCAGTGAAACCGCTCCGGGCTGCACGATTCGCTGATCGTCATGTTGGATTCTGAGAATGCATCACATTTATTGATCAGGCAGTCTGTGGCGAACAGAAACTAAAGTCAAACTGAGCATAGTTTGTTTTGAAACAAGCCGTAATGAGACTGATGGTGAAATCAAGATGATGCAAAAGCTTTAGGATTCTTTAAAGGAAGCTTGAAACGTGTGGTGCAACACGTCTTGAGGAGAAGAGACCAGCAGGAGGCAGCATTTACACAGATCAAAGTCTCGAAGCCTTGGCAGGGTCCAGGGCTTGGTGGGTTCATAGCTCGGTGCAGTTATCTCTGCCAGTGTCAAATATAATTAGTTTTTATTCAGAATTTAGTACTAAATGGATCAAAACAATGAAAAGCTTTCAGAAAAATCATGTTTTTGGCATATTTATACCAAAAGTAGTTATTTTAAACCCTTCAAACCCCAAAATAATAAACAGTAATATTAGTAATAAACAGTAAGAAAGAGTAGAATAAAACAAAATGCACGTGAAATTCAGTGTTTTGCTAACCAGACGACCTGGGATTCCCTCAAGTTCACACTGGGGCAAATCCATGAATAAACAAATATTTTTATGTAAATCATGATCAGAACGACTCACAGATGGCTGATTTGAATGTGTGTGTGTGTGTGTGTGTGTGTGTGTGTGTGTGTGTGTGTGTGTGGGTTGATCAAGAAAGTGCTACCCTCCACATGTGCATCCAGCCTGCACGTGTGTGTGTGTGTGTGTGTTTTAGACACCAGCTGTGACATTCATGAACGCACATCGGCAACATGCACAGCTGTTTGTTTGGCAGAGATTCCCTCTTCCTGAAAGCGATTGCTACTGCACTGTGGCAGATGATGGGATTCATTAATCGGTGTTGTTCTGTGAGTAAACTGCTCTAAGAGCCAGAGACTTCATCAAAGTAATCACTCAGGTAATTCTACAATTTTATCTTATTGATTTATGGATTTAAAGTTTGGATTTATGAAAACTGTGTAGTCATTCGCAAATAAAAAGTCAGGAATTGTTTTTTTATTTATTTTTTTGGTAACATTTAGATTTTTAAGTGACTTACCAAATCCTGCATTTTAATTTACGGATGAACTGACATATAACCATGAGGTTAAAAACACAAAGTCTCAACTTCTGAAAGCCACTTAGGACACCATTGTGACTTGTAAAATAATTAGAAGATGATTACGTTTACTAGTATAGTAAAATGTATCCCTCTGAGGCTGAGAAACTTTTAGCATCAAAATGTATGCCCTATATATCAATACATATCATCAAGCTGCACCTCTAACAAGATAGCAGAGCCTGGGCTACAAGACCATATCAACTTTTAAACGTGATCCAAACACAACTAAAACACCAATTAAATGAATCATGACAAATCGCCTCAATCTTTTTTATTTGTCATATTTTCTATTTGGTAGAAATCAAGCAGTCAGAAACTTTATCCATATGAACTTTATTACAGTGGGAGAGACAAGCATACACGCAGCATTCACCATGTAACCCTCAGCAGAACTTCCCCTGAACTCTGCACTACACCTCTATATTTATTAGCTGTGCTCTGCTGCCACCTAGTGTTCAGTTCAGTACACAACATTTACAGTGTTTTATGTCCATTTACACTTCATCAATAATGCGCGCGTGTGCACGTACACACACACACACACACACACACACACACACACACACACACACACACACACACACACACACACACACACACACACACACACACACACACACACACAGATTAATATGTACACATCCCAACAAATCCCACAATAGTTAATGTTCTAATGAGACCAAAGTAATCAAATAGATGTTGTGGCTACAGAAATAAACTCATTAACGTGTGGGTATGTCATCTGTGCCTCACTGATATAATTTTTGATTTAAAAAATTTGCTTGGGCACAAATGGTCTTGAATGATTAAAATGTGATAAATCAAGATTAATTACAAAAAATGTCTATACTATTAGTTTTAATTCCCATTTTAATTTGAGTCCATAACTAGTTTTTACTTTAATGCATTTATTTGACAGATTTGCTTCTAAAATTAAGATTCTGCTTCAAAAATTCTAAAAGGTGTTCTCACACATTTCAACCTTTGACATGTTTAACAGTAACTTATGTTGTTTAGGTCACACAGCATGGGTGCATTTGACAGTGTTGGTACCTCCTGGGGTATGTGTCCATGGTACCAGCCATGGCTCCTGATGTCAGCAGGACTCAGTTTCAGCTCCTCCTCCAGTTCTTTGCGAAGCTTCTCAGGAGGAGACTCCAGCAGGTATTTCTCCTTGGAGAACTGTGTCAGACAGAAAATGAGACAAGAAAACCTGAGTTCAGCTGGTGAGAAAAGTCCAAAAGAACCATAAAACACGTCATTCAAAACTGACTACAGAAACAAACCACATCTAACTTTTTGAAGTCATATCAATCCTACAGAGGTTTAGATGTAATCCTAAAACAAACCCACATGGATATAAACTTCAGTTAGGGTGGGAAATACATAAAATATAGTGAAACATTTGGACTCCAAAGCACTTCACACTAGTGTACCATTCATTCATTCACATGCACATTCACTCACAACATATTCTTTTATGACTTTTCTTAAATGGCTCTATTGAGACTGTAGGGTATACATGTTTTCTACAAACTCTCAGCTGTCTACATCTAACTACCAGGCGTTTTGTTTGTACAGATGCAACTCGCTCCACTTCCAAAGCAGAAGACTGGCTAATGCTCTAGATGGGAAAGAGAGACGGACACGCACTGGAAAAAGAAACAAAGACAAGTCACAGACCTACTTGCGAAGAAAAACAGTTTTTTCTTTAGTTCGACCCCACCCCCCCCAAAAAAAACCCACAAAACCACACACACACACACCCCGTATACAACTGGGACATGTTTAACATTTCAAAGCTTAATATTAGCATGAATGGACCAGTTCAATACCTGATGGAAATATTGCTGCACACAGTCTTTAGTTGTGTGTTTCTGAACTATTATCAGCAAAAGTTCAGCTAATTAGGGAAACTGTTTTTTACACTGTGAGAAAGGCCTTCGGGGCTCAAGAGGCAGGTGGAGGTCATCCGCTAATTGAAGGGTCGGCGGTTTGATCTGCCGCCTCTTTGGGCCGCATGTCCAAGTGTTTATGAGCTTCAATTAAACACCACTTCGATGTGCTGGTGTGTGTGTGTGTGTGTGTGTGTGTGTGGTGGTTCAGGTGATATTTTGAACAGGATCAACCAAATTTTGTAATTTTCTGTATTTCCTTAAATCATTTCAGGAGCTGAACCCTCATGTTGTGGCTCAGGATGCAGTGACTCTGAGACTTGCTGAGAATGAGCAATGCAATTGGCTAACACGTCCTTTCCACTGGATGTGTAAGTGGCGTGCGCAGGACACTATAGACAAGGTTTTCCTCACCGAGCTCAGCAGCGCAAGCATTTTGAAAGTGAAACAGCAGCAAAAGCATTCCACACAGCTGGACCCACCAGGTCAGAAAATCACTGGAAAATTTCAAGATCATGTTTGATTTTAACGGTTTACCCACTGATGGTGATGAGTTACGTTGTAGCTACAGCTACCCTGGGGAATACTGACAGAGGCAAGGCTTCCAAGCACCGGTCCATCCGACCACCATCAGCAGGCAAGGTAGGTTGGATGTCTTGCCCAGGGACACTAAAGCAGCGTTCTCTGGCGGTAATTGGAAGGTTGCATGGATCGAACCATCCATGCAACCTTCCGATTACTGGACAAACCGCGCTACCTCCTGAGCTACTGTTGCCCCTGTATCCATAAAGGTTTGAGGTTTATTTTCTGTTCAGTTTACCTTGACTATGGAAGTTTCACTGGTAATCATATACTTTTCTTTACTAGTTAAGCAACTGGAAATCTGCATGTGACTTTTATGTAGAAAATTTCCAGAGGTTTTCCAGCTTTTTTGTTTGACTTCTTGTCTGACCTGATCTGAACGGCTTAGCTTTATGTGTGTAAAATATTGACTTGAGGTGTAAGTTTAGTGGAGCGATGCATCTTTAGCTTGTGGGACGCAGTCGGTATGAAACGCTCCCATCGGTTAAAACGGTGGCCTATAAACTGTGCCTCGTAGGAAAGGTGACAATAAAGTCAAGAAATTCATTCATTCATTTTGATGCTTACGCATCTGGTGGAAAGGTCTGGTAAGGCCCTGCTTTCATTAACCCTTTCTAAGCTGAGCCACAGAAGAATCCTGCATGAAAATGAGCAAAAATGACCAGAAATGTCCGACATTACAGGCCAGAGAGAATGATTTCATGGGCCAGATATGGCCTGGGGGCCACCACTTTACCACCACTCAAATAGAGTCTTAGTAAACTTGGATTAAATTTTTTAGTAGATCTAAATCTAAGAGAAAAAATAAGTTGTTTTCCTGTAGTTTAAACATTTTTCTGCCTAACATTTTTAAACTTAATTCTTTCCAGTTACTATATTATTTTTAAACCCCACGCCCCAGATCCATTTGCATGTGTAATGATGAAGAAAGGGAAATCCCACAGTGGGGCCCAGATGATTTTTGAGGACACCAAAACACATCAACACAGAACGACTGCATCTAGACAGACCACCTAATATGAATAAAACACACCATGATCAAACAGAAACACACACACTTTGACACACCCAGACATCAACACAAATCCACACAGGAGTAAACAGACAGACATCTTCCTGACACCATCAGGAGGAGGACAAATGAGAGGGGAGTAAACAGTAAACAGCCTCGTTCACCAAAACTCCTTGTTTTCAGCATTTTCCTTCGTTCTGTTTCCTTTTTGAGGGTTTCTGTAAGAAAAGTTTCAGTAAGTTTGTTCAGATGTTCAAGAAGAAACAAGGCATGAAGGGGTATCATGACCTGTTTGTCTGTCTTTGAAGGCTACAAGATCCAAAACATTCAGTCTCATCATTTCCAGGTAGCTACTAGATGTATTTATTAACTTCCTCCTCTCTTCTTCCTTCTTCTCCGATTCTCTGGGGGAGACGGAGGAATATCACTCTGGAGCCTTGCTCTCCCAGATTAGATTTGAGGTATGTGTGCGCGTGCGTGTGTGTGTGTGTGTGTGTGTGTGTGTGTGTGTGTGTGTGTGTGTGTGTGTGTGTGTGTGTGTGTGTGTGTGTGTGTGAAGGTGAGACATGGCCAATAAAAAAGCAAAGAGGTCAAGTGTGCATTCATTACTTTTTCTTGTCTCTGTGAAAACCCAAGAGAGCGTTGTTGATCTGACGCTCAACAATGAACTTGGTGTGTGTGTGTGTGTGTGTGTGTGTGTGTGTGTGTGTGTGTGTGTGTGTGTGTGTTGTGAGGTAAATTGAAATGTCAACAGGGTTCTGTTTATGATACGATTTGTGGAGGAGGACAATGAATAGACAATAAAAAGTTATTTGGCAAGGCCACAAGAGAGTCTGCGTCTATCTGCATTATCGCTTGTAGTAATTTAAATAAAAAGTGTCTTATATTGTGACATGAGCAGCATTCAGCAGGAAATGACCGACATCAGTACTGTAATGGCTGGTGATGCCTCTTCTAAGGAGGGCAGCAGAGCTGCAAGGGTTCTGGACTGGTGTGAAAACAGAGCAGGAGAAGAAACAGTTGCCTGATGACAAAGGAGGACACACGCAATGGGAAGAAGCACAATGGGAGTCGGTGACAAAGACTAATGCAGTTACAGAAAATACTGAGAGCACTTATTTCCATTTTAAAATGTATATTTTCCAGAGAAGCTGTATTTTCAGTTAGTTTGGACTAATACCATTATCTCTGTTTGAATCTTTCTGATGTAATCACCACATATGAGAATGGGTGTTTTGTATTAGTGACTACATGGTCACCATGAGGATTTGGTAATTGTCAGTAAGCAGCCACTAGAGGGCATCATTGCTAGGTCAATGTTACCTCATGTATGATTTATGACTTATTTTCTGGTTCAGAATGAAAGTGCCTGTTCTTCTGGACTTTATCTGCATCGAGGCTCTGCACATCCACACGCTCAATGACATTACACATTTTGTAGCGTTACATTAAATTCAGGCTAAACAGTGGCGCAGTCGTTAGAGCTGTTGCCTTGTAGCAAGAAGGTCCTAGGTTCGCTTCCCGGCCTGGGATCTTTCTGCATGGAGTTTGCATGTTCTCCCTGTGCATGCGTGGGTTCTCTCCGGGTACTCCGGCTTCCTCCCACAGTCCAAATACATGACTGCAGGTTAACTGGTCTGTCCTGTGTGTCTCTGTGTTGCCCTGTGAAGGACTGGCTCTCTGTCCAAGGTGTACCCTGCCTAATTGCCCATTAACTGCTGGAGATAGGCACAAGCACCCCCCCCCCCCCCCCCCCCCCCCCCCCGCGCCCCATCTGGACAAAGCGGGTTCAGACAATGGATGGATGGATGGATGGATGTTGGATTCGCTTTCTGCTTTGGGCCTTCCCATGAATTCACAATGAAAAAACATTTGAGCCTCAGGAAGCTGTCATTTTAAATTGTTCTGTTTTATACATACAGTGAAATCTCAGTTTTGGCTTGCTTTTAGCACCCCCTAGTGTCTGATTGTAGAACCGAAAACAAGCTGTGTGTTCATCTTTCTAACACCTTAATGTAACAGCTGAAATGTCTCCCCAGCCTTCCTTGGTGTCTACAGGAGTGATTCATCACTAAATTAAACAAATCAGCGGTGTTCATGATCTACAACATGCAGGAAATGTGATGAAACAAGACTGCTGCACCTGGTATGTCAGCTCAATTTGTTCTAAGTCCCATTAGCGGGCCCGCCCGGTCTGAAGTTGCAAGTGGTATCTTCTGGCCACGGGGGGGGGGGGGGGGGGGGGGGGGGGGGGGATAGGGGCTGGGTGGCCTGTAACGGGTCATTTTAGCACATACTGACTCAAGAAAATGATTAAAAAAATATGAAAATGTTGTGAAGTATCCCTTTAAGCCATACTTATTCTGCTGCCAAAGACTAATGATCTTTTTAAGTGGTTTTGATTCACATTTTGTAAATTTGTCTGATGGTTTTTACTAGTTTTCGTTGGACTTTGCCTTTTCACTCATTTCCAGCCCAGTTTTTGGAGAGAGTTCCGTGACATGTTGTCATAATTAGGTACATGAGCAGGAAGTTAAGTAAAATACAGCACAAGTACAATAAAAGCAACTAAATACTTCAGGAAATCCAAAAAAAAAAAAAAATTACTCCTTTAATTGACTTGTAACAAACAAGGGTGTGAGTGAATTTCGTTTGGAGGATGTATGTTCATGCATCATCACAGCGCTCCTACA